CTAAAGATCCCTGAGGATTCCTAAAGATTCCGAAGGGTGCCTGAGGATTCCCTACACATTCGCGAAGGAATTCCGAAGGATTTCTCAGGATTCCTATGGATTCGTAAAGATTCCTATGGATTCCTGGAGGAATCCGGAAGGATTTCATGAGTCCTATGGATTCGTAAAGATTCCTAACCCCGAAGGAATCCGGAGGAATCCTGAAGAATTCCGAAGGATCCTAAGGAATCATAAGGATCCTGAGGATCCCCGACGGAATCCGAAGGAATCCTAAAGAATTCCGAAGAATCCCAAGGAATCATAAGGATCCTGAGGATCCACTAAGAAATCCGGAGGAATCTGGAAGAATTCCCAAGAATCCCAAGGAATCCGATGGAATTCCGAAGAATCCCAAGGAGTCCTGAGGAATTCCGACGAATCCGAAGGAATCCTTAGGAATTCAGAAGAATCCGAAGGAATCCGGAGGAACTCCAAAGAATCCGAAGGAATCCGGAGGAATTCCGAAGATTCCATCCATGGTTGGAATTGGTCTCACTTCTGGTTGAAATTGGTCTCATTTCTGGTTGCAATTCGCTCCGAACGGTTGGAATTGGAACTAGTCGGTTGTGATTCGTTCCATTTCGTCCCGACCCTCCCCCCCCTCCCACGGGCGGGGGGGGGTTCAAACCCCCCCCCGGCGCCGACGCCGGCGGCCGTCAGCAGCGCCGACAGCGGGGACGCAGCGACGATGACCAGAGGCAGCCCAAGGGGGGGGGGGTTCAACCCCCTTCTCCCCCCCACCCTGGCGCCGAAGGGGGGGGTTCAAACCTTCCCCCCCCCCTGGCGGGCCCCCCCCCCCCTGGCGCCGGCGCCGGCGCCGGCGCTGGCAGCGGCCAGCAGCGCCAGCGCTGGCGCCGGCGACGACGGGGACGCAGCGACGATAACCACCACTACAACCACCACCACCACAACCACCACCACCACAGCCTCAACCCATCATCGCCACCACCAACCCACCACACAACCACCCACCACCACACCACCACCACACCACCACCAAAAACCACCACAACCACCACCACCACAACCACCACCACCACACACTCACCATCACCACCACACACACCACCACAAAAATCCACCACCACCACCACCACCGCCAACACCACCACCACTACCAGCAGCACAACCCACCACCACCACCACACAACCACCACCACAAACCACAACACCACCACCACCACTGCCACCACCACCACCACCACCAGCACAACCTCCACAAACCACCGCCACCACCACAACCCACCACCACCACCACCACAAACCACCACCAAACCACCACCACCACCACAACCTACCACCTCCGCCACCACCACCACCACACCACCACAAACCACCACCACCACACCACGACCACACCACGACCACACCACCACCACACCACCCACCACCACAACCACCACCACCACAACAAACCACACCACCACCACCACCACAACCACCACTACCGCCACCACCACCACCGCCACCACCACCACCACAACCCACCACCACCACGACCACCACCACCACCACCACCACCACCGTCGTCCTCGTCGACGCTCCCCGCCGCCGCCCGCCCAGAAAAGGAAATCGTCGTCCCCGCCGCCGCCGCCGCCAGCCGAGGAGAGGGAGAGAGGAAGGTAGGGCGGCGGGGTTCGAAGCCCCCTGCGCCCCCCTTCGTCACGGGAGGGGGGCGGGGGGGGGCGGGGGGGCTCGATCTCCCCCCTCCATCCAGGGGGGGGGGGGTCCGGCTTCAACCCCCCCCCCCTTCCAAGCGACCACGGAACGCGCTCTTTCCAACCTTGGAAGATCGCGGCTTTCCAGCAGCGCGGATCGCTGAAGTCAACCGGTTCTGGGTCGCTGGCGGTGTTCAACATTGAGCGCCCGCGCTGGGGCAGGACCAAGCAGCACAGAATCGGGAAACCGAGCCGAGTCTTACGTCGGGCATGTCTCCCTACAGGCGGATTTGGGACGAAAATTAAAAATACAAAAAAATCGTCCTCGCACTATTTCCTGACCATTTTTGAATATTCCTCCTGGAGAGGGACGTGCCCGACTTAAGCCGAGTCGGGACGTGCGTCGCATTGGGCCGCATCGGCATGGTGCCGAGAACGCATTCTTCATTCGCGGCCATAGCGGGCGGTATGGGGGGAGGGGCGGGTACGGGAATGGGCAGAATGTAGCGCCCCCCCCCCCCCCCCAGCATGTGGTGCCAGACGCACTGCCGCAGTGCCGGGGACGCACTGAGGGGGGGAGCGTCACATTCGGCGGTGGACAAAGCTCCCTTTAGTAAATCACTCTTTAGCGAAAATGGCCTAGGACCGAAACCGACGGACCTGGACCCGCAAAAATGACGGCCGCGACGCCCATTCGCTAATCGACGTGTCAGGGTAGGAGGTCTATCAACCTCCGATACATTAAGGGGGGACAGGGCTAGGGGGCATCACGCGCGTTGTGGCCCCGAGGGTAAGAAAAGCACTCTCCGAGACAGACTCGGATCGACTGCGCCACGATGGACAGCACAGCGTCAGGCCGCCATCGCTCGGGCGTCCACTCCCCGTGCATTTTTCGTTTTCGTACGTGTTTCTTGTTCGTGTTGTCGCTTTCGTACGTGTTTTTGGTTTTCGTTTTCGTTCGTGTGTTCGTGTTTTGTTGTTTCGTTTTCGTTTTCGTACGTTTTTTTTGTGTTCGCTCGATGATCCAGGATGCTCCTCGATGGTTCTCGCCGAAACAAAAAAACAACCGCACACGTCCGAGCGATGGCACGGCCCGGCGGCGGCCTCGCCTCCAGCGGTGGGCCTCTCCTGGAGCGCCCGCGAGGGCACGGCCCTTCCTCGCCCTGCCGGTGTGAGGGGCCACGGTGGCGGGAGCTTTCGACAGAGTGATAAATTCAGGACGTTTAGTGTCGAAGCTGCGGGCCTTCGGCCTTCCCACTTGCATGCGCGATGTTTTCGCAAGGCTGGAGGCCCGTAGTGCCTGCGTCACTGCGGCAGAGTTCAATTCTGTAAAGCACATAGTGTATCTTCATCGAGTGCAGAACTTCTGCTTTCACTCACGCCTCCGGGGGGGCAGGCATAGGGGGGGATGCATCGGCCTGGAATCGGCGGTACATCTTCGATACATCGGCGAGAGGCCCCCAATAATGAATGCGCCCCTTCCTGGGCGGGGTGGGGCTACCGGGTCCCTATCGGCGATCAATGGGCGATCGGGGGTCGGTGTATCCCCCCTATGCCTATCCCCCCCCTATCGTTGTCCCCGACAGTGGCGCGGCCGTCATGATTGCGAAGGCCTTACGGCCGATGACGTCGACCTTCAAGGACGACGACGACGACGACGACGACGACGACGAGGCCGTCCCTCACCTGTCAGGCCTGAGCTGGATCGGATCGCGAAATCTGCGAGGCGGGGGTTTCTCCCTGTCCACCGCCTGGGAACTGCCGTCCCGGTGCCCCAAGCGGGCGGTGGACATGGCCATATTCTGGCTCGGACGTGGACATATGTTGGCCCCGGGGGCCAAAGTATGTCCATGTCCACCGCCCGCCGAGGTCCTCGAAAATTGATCCTCCAGGCGGTGGTCGTGGGAAAACACACACACACTGTGGGAACAAAAACACACACTGTGGGAAAACACACACACTGTGGGGAAAAAAACATACAAAAACACACACGGTGGAAAAACACACACACACACTGTCGGAAATACACACACACACACACTGTGTGCTTTTCCCCACCGTGTGTGTTTTTTTTCCACAGACTGTGTGTTTTTTCCCGCCTCGGAAAACCGGATCGGTTCGGAAACGGATCTGAGTGCAATCGGGTCGTCCCGAATCGAATCGGAATCGGACCGCCACCCACTGCTCCGGCTTGCCCCGGCCGATGTCAATAGCATCGAGTCGAACCAAACCAAATCGGAATCATCGCGGCCCCGACTGGCGGAACCCTCGAGTATGTCTGGCCTTCACGCAGCCCGAAGCTAACCTGCACTCTTGTTCGGCTCGGCATCGTTCCAAGAAGGGGCGGAGAGGGGGGGGGAAACCAACATGCCTTGCAAACAAACAAGAACCGCTCCTGGATGGGACATCGATTGCAGGTGAGCATGCGTGCGTGTATGCACAGCACACGCCAGAACCTATGGTGTGGCCGAGCACGCCAGCGTTAAACTGATCCAGCAGTCCAGGAGGAGGCGGAGGAGCACGAGGCCGAGGCAACTTGAGGCTAGAGCACGCACGAAGTTTCCTGGATGTCCCCGAGAGTGCCCGGAAGGCAGCAGAAGGCTCGGAAGTCCCCGGGCCTTCTGGGAAGTTGGGGAAGTTGTCGAAGCATTCCCCGAAGGCCTCTTCTAAGAAGCCCAGCCGCCTTCCGAGAGAAGGCCTTCTCCTTCTCACTTCCCCCCCGCCCCCGCCCACCGCCCAAAAAAAAGGACCAGCGACAATAACAATTACACATTGCTGTTGTAGCAGTTGGAGCAGGTCATGCTCGTGGTGCGAGAACGGATCGGCGCAGCACCAACAGAGATGCTGCCCGCATTCGTTGTAGTAGTGGTGCTGGTAAGATGTTGTAAGTATAGCGCACGTTGTAGCAGCAATGGCGTGGCAAGAGAAGAAAGTAAGCGTGTTCAACGCTCAGTCCCATTATACGGAGAACTGTTGAGTGGCCTCCCTCGTGGCGAACATGTGAATGGCGTAGCAGTGCGAGTATGAATATGATGTATGAGAAAGGGATACACACATCAGACTGTAGTCATACTGGCACCCTGCGTAGAAGTCGAACAACAGTCCTGGGTTGGTGGTACGTGCTGGCAGTAGCATCGCCAGCAGTGGCTATGGCAGCGTAACTAGTAGTCGTACTCCCTGTAATAGCGGTGTCCAGCGCAATCGCCAGCGCATGATCGCAACGCATCGCAGCCACAGCCGCAACCCCACAGCAGCTGCAGCGGCAACAGTGGCGGCTGCGGACGGCGCAGCCCCCGGCCCCGCCAGGCGGCTGGCTTCTGCGCGAGCTCCCGCAGTGCATCCGCATGGGCGGGCAGCCTCCACAACACGCCGTCGGGTGAGGCCGCTGCGCCCTGCCACGGCGGGCGGCTGGGCGAAGAAGCCGACGGGCGCGGAGGCGATGAGGAGAAGCATGGCAAGGGTAGGACAGGGAAAGGAAGCGAGGGGGTTAGCTGGGGAGGGGAGCGGGGGCTGGGGGAAGGGAGCGAGGAGGGGGAGGGAGGGTGCGGAACCGAAGATGTGTGCGGGGGGGAGGAGATAAGCGGGGAGGGCCGCTCTTCACTCCCCACCGCCCACTTAGCAAGATCCCCTCTCGCTTCCAGCTCACTTCCCTTCCGTCCCCTCAACACTTCTTCCTCGCGTCCCCACGACGGTCTCTCGCCCCCGCCCCCGCGCCCCCTGCTCCCTCCGTGATTACGCCACTGAGCGGCGGGTCAGTGGAGCGCCAGTGTTCCTCGAACATCACATCCACCGCCACGGCGAAAGCCAAAAACGCCGCAAGGCCCCGCTGGAAGCGCCCGCCGTGCAGACGCGCAACAGCGACCAGCGTTAGGTCGGGCATGTCCCCCTACAGGCTGATCTATTCAAAAATACACCAAAAGCATTCAAAACAAATTCAAGAATAGTCAAAACATCGTCCCCAGACTATTTTCGGACTATTTATGAACATCCCGCCTGTAAAACGACGTGCCCGACTTCAGACTAGCGCGCCAGCTCGGGAGGTGCCGCGCATGAGGGCGGGCGGCAGCGGGCGCGCGATGCGGCGCGGCGCGGGGCCGCGCCGAGCTCTGCGCCCCGGCGCGCAGCGAGATCGCTGGCGGCATGCAGCACGTGGCACACGGGACGTCGCCGAGCGGTTGCGCGCAGCGGCTGCTCGCCGCCTGGCGCGCGTGCTTCCGCGCGGCCGGCCCGCGGTGCCCGGCCGTCTCGGGCGCGAGCGGCAGCGCCCGCCAGCGCGACCCGCCTGGCAGCGACGCCGCCTGTCGTTTCCCCCCCCTCCCCCGGACGGCGGCGCTGTCGGCGTCCGGCGCCGCAGCCAGCGCGCGGGGGCGCGCCCGGCGCACGGCAGCGGGCGGTTGCGTCTGCGCGAGCAGCCGCGGGCAGCTGCCCCGACGGGCCTGCACGCAGCGCAGGCCGAAGGCCCGCCCGCCAGGCCAGCGGGGCGAGCGCGCCTGCCGGGCAAGCGCTAGCCAGCCCGCCGGGCCCGCGGGCAGCCCACCCGCTGGGGCCAGGTCCCGCGGCGGGCCTGGATCGCGACCCCGAGCGCCCCTGCAGGGAATGGGCAACACACACGCTCTGGCGACGATGATTCTATGCTCGGCCAAGACTCTGATACCTTGGCTGTATCCTTGCTTGCTCAGCGAGTTCGGGCAAAAACGCTAGTGTATATATATATATAGAGAGAGAGAGAGAGAGAGATGCGTTGCCTCCCGTCGACGCTGTGGCACTGATGCGGCGGGCCTGGATCGCAACCCCAGGCAACCTGCAAGGTCCGCTATGGGCTATGGTTAGGTCGGGCAGGTCCTCCTACAGGCGGATTAGGTGCATTTAACATTAAAAAGAGTTCAAAGACACTCGACAGTATACAAAAATAGTAGCAACCTCGTCCCCACACTATCTTTTTGTACATCTTTGAATCGTCCCCTTGTAGAGGGGCACGCCCGCCTTCAGGCCATGGGTGGGGCGACGTCCTGGCTGCGCGCACCCCTCGCCGCAAGCCTGCGCACATGGCAGGCGCGGCGCGCTCTGCAGCCGAGGGGCGCGGGTCACAGGGCTGCCCCGCGAGCGCACCCACCCGCAGCTGGCTCCGGCAACGGCTGCCGGGCGGCCCCGCCGTGCTCTACACTGCGCGGCGCTCGCTCTCCCTGCCGCCCTCCCCTCCCCAGTATCCCCCGCCCTCCTGCCCCTTGACCCTCCCTCCCGCCCTCCCTCCCTCCCTCCATTCCCGCCCAGCTCCCCGCATGATGACCCGTGTCCGCGGCCGTTCTGCCCGCTCGGCTCCCGAGCCTGAGCGTACCCCACTCACAGAGGGCCGATCTGGGCATCAGCACCGCCGTTTTGATCATCTCGCGCAGCTCTGCTGAGTTGCTGGAGCGGACCTCGACCCTCCAGGGGGCCAAGAGAATACTGAGACGGCGAGGGGTCCTGAGTCCTGAGGTCCGACCACGCAAGCAAACCGCAACATCGTTGAGCATCAGGAATGGAACCCTGGACCTCGTCGGCTGCATTTTTCGAACCGGATCCATATGTGATGGCCCCGGGGGCCCCGGGAACGGGCGAAAAAGCCCAGCGTGAAAAGACTGCAACGTCCGGATCCCAATGGAAGAGATCGACTGCTTACCCTTGCCCCCCCCCCCGCTTTTCAGCCACTCCCCCGTGAAATCATACATACTCCGGCAAACAGCCTGGCGGCACCGGCAATCTGATACACCCCCCTCCCCATCATCCCCTGCGAAGTTCCCACAAAGCCCCCTCAGATGCTCGTCGCTCAGAAGCTCCTCAGCAGCCTCCTCAGAGGCTCCACAAAAGCTTCCCAGAGAAGCTGCTCAGACGCTTCCACCGGGGAATGAACTGGTTTACAAAGGAATGTATCAGGTTACCCGGGGATGCATTTTTTGGTCCCTCCCCCCCTCCCTCACCATCCCAAAAATCAAATTTTATTTTTCAATACGGGGTCCCTGGAAGTCTCGACCCATTCCCCAGGACCGGCTTTTAATCCTGAGTCGTTTTTTGACGGTCCTGGGGCCCGGCGAGGGCCGCTAGGGGCCGAAAGTCGAGAAAAACCTCCGTCTTGATTTTTCCAATGCGTTGGAGGTCTGGGATACAACCTCCATCCGAATTACCCTCCCCCCAGGAGCGCGTTTCTTTATTTTCGGCGATGACGGGCGTCAAGGGGGGGGGGGCGAGGGGGGGTATGACGCAACGCCCCCCCCCCCGCCGTGCGCACGGCGGCAGTGCCTGGAGCGCACTGGGGGGGGGGAGCGTTACGTCAGAGGGGGGGGGGACGGGGGCGGGGGTCATGAGGCCCGTCAGGCTCCAAGCAATACCGAAACACGCTTCAGCTGCCCCGCCCTTCGGTCCTGGGCGGAGGGGTAGCGGCTGAAGATCAGGCTCGGGAGCAGGGCGTCCTGGGGCCACGGGGCCACCGGCTGCCGCCGCCGTGACGTCGTGGTCTTCGTCTTCGTCGCGGGATCTCCTCGTCGTCTCGGCTACACGCCAGTGGCCCCAGCCAAGGGAGACTTTTCCCCCCAGACCCCCCTCGGGATATGAAAAGCAATCGAGACGGGCGGTGTTTCGCCATTTTCGGCCTCGAAGGTCCGGCTCTCGGGAGCGTCAGCAGAAACGCGACCCAGGACGAAACGCCGGTCCCGGGGGAATGGGTCCAGACCTCGGGGGTCGACGTCATGAAAAACACACATGCCTTCGGGGGTCGGGGCTGCGCGGCCTGCCGATCTTTGCGTGCGATGATGCAGCGGCGGCTTGGTCGCTCAGGCTTGGCCCCGCCCCCCACCCCCCCCACCCTGCCCCGAAGCCGCGCCCCAACGGTAACATTTGGCGAGGGGTCGTTTTCACGTGTAGCCGACGGTCGCTTCCTCCCATCCCCTCCTTCCCCCCTTCTCCCGGGGATGAGGAAGAGGTGGGAAGAGGATCCGTGGGGTCCTGGGGGGGGGGGGGGGGGGGAAAGATTCGAGCACCTTAAACAACGTGTCGCGATCTTGGAGAGCTGTGTGTGTGTTCACACATTCTTGCGAACTGGTGGAACACAGCGGGCCCATCGCGGCGCGGCACTTGCCGTCGCTCGGACGTCCCTTCCCTGTGCATTGTTCGGTCTCGTGCGCATCATTCTCGCGAGATGATGCAGGATGATCCTCGATATGGTGCTCGCCAGGGAGACATGCACACGCCCGAGCGATGCCCAGCGGCATGCCCGTCTGCGCATGGCCCTGCCCGGGCGGCCCGGGAGGCGTGTGGGCGGCGGGGCGGGCGCGCGCAGTCCCCGATCGGGGAGACGTAAGACTCGGGTACGGGGGACTCGGCTTGGCCTGACGGGGGCCATCATCAAAAATGGCGAGACCCGATCTGCAATTTGCCGCGGGCTCCCGCTGCGGACATGCCACGACAACGGGACCGTCAAGAGCCAGGACGCGCTCGTCGACACAAAAATGGCAAACCCGAGATCCGGCTTGCTCGAGTCTTGCGCGTCCCCGAACAACGCGCCTTGCTGGAATCGGTGTGCCCGCGCTTCTTGGCATTGAAGGATGAAAAAACGCCCCTACCCTGGGTTACAAGTGCGTGGTCTGTAAACCACCTGGGACCCCCCAGAGGCCAGTGAGCCGCCAGGACGCCGTGCGACACGCAGGGTTTACCCTGTCTCTGCTGCGTGCGACCAAAGGCGTGGCCACGATCCCAGAGATCCGATGACGTGATCTTTTCAATACGGGGTCCCCGGAAGTATCGACGCATTCCCCAGGACCGGCTTTTCATCCCGAGTCGTTTCTTGGCGGTCCCGGGGCCCGGCGAGGGCCGCCAGAGTGGCCGAAAGTCGAGCGAAACCTCCGCCTTGATGCTTTCAATGCGTTGGAGGTCTGGGCTACAACCTCCATCTGAATTACCCTCCCCCCAGGAGCGCGTGGCTTTTTTTTCGGCGATGACGGGCGTCAGGGGGGGGGGGGGGGCGAGGGGGGTATGACGTAACGCCCCCCCCCGCCGTGCGCACGGCGGCAGTGCCTGGAGCGCACTGGGGGGGGGGATCCGACCGACGGCATGGCCACGATCTCTGCCGCACGCGACCACCGACATGGCCAGCGGCGGGCGGGCCCGCGCGGGCCCAGGGCGGTGACGGGCGGCTCTGCGGCCCAGGGCCCGCGGCCCCCTTGAAGGGGCCCAGGGACACACAAATAAAGACACACAAATCCCAAGAGTCCCAATATTTTACCATATTTTCTGTATTTTCGGCCTTCCCCCCGACTTCCCAACGGCATGGCCACGATTTTTGACGCCCGAACTAGATACGGAAAGAACGGGTACATTGCCCAACAACAAGTGTTGTCCCAAACCGACACAGCGGCCGCTGTTGGGCAGGCGGCCTTCTGTCTCAAATGTGCACGGGCCGCGGCGACACCGACAGCGAGCCCTGCTCAAAATGAACAGGGACCGCTGTTGGGCATTGTACCCGTTCTTTCCGTAATGGAGGATGACGAGTAATGAATGACCGGGGGTCGTGTTCACGCGGCGGCGCCCAGGATGACGATTAGAAAAAAAAACCGGCCGCGGGCTGGAAAACTATTACTTTCGATCGTTCTCCTCCAGTCAGAAGAAAATTATGCAGAAATAACAGAAAACTATGTTTTAATAATTTTAATCGTTCTCTCCCATTTTTTATGAATCGTCATATTTTCCCATATTCCCCATATTTTCCCACAAAAAACATATTCCCAATATTTTCCCATATGTTCTGGGTTTCTGTCCTCCCGCCCACTTCCCATATTTTCCAATATTTTCGGGGAAATCGAGGATTAGTTGTGTCTGTGTGTTTCTTTCCCTCCTGAGTTTCGGGGGAACGTCACGGGGGCTCGGAAAGGGGTGTGGCATAAAGGGCCTTGGTGCCAATCGTGGAAATGGCGCTGCTATCTGCGAGAAATAACGCCAGACTCCCCTTTGCATAAAATTAGCACCACACCCCTTTGTACCATACCCCTTTTCCCACCTCCAGAAACACGGGGGGCGGGGATCTTCTGACCCAGGTCAATCCAGACCCAGGTGAGTCAGGACCTGCAAGATCCTGCAACATTTAGGTCGGGCCCGTCCTCCTACAGGAGGATTTTGGACGAAAAATTTAAAAAGCTCCAAACATGTCCCAAAATTGTCAAAAACAAAAAAAAGCTATTTCTTGATCATTTTTGCTTTTTCCTCCTGTAGAGAGACAGGCCCGACTTAACCCGAAACTGAGGGGGAATGTCACGGGGGGTGGTGATCTCCTGACCCGGGTCAATCCAGACCCAGGTCAGTCAGGATCTGTATTAGGTCGGGCCTGTCCCCCTACAGGCCGATTTTCGACGAAAAATGAAGAATACACCACAAATAATCGAGGATGTTCAACAATGGTCAAAAAATCGTCCCCAATGTTTTAAAATCTATTTTTGAACATTCCTCCTGTAGGGGGACAGACCCGACTTAAGACTTGCAAGATCCTGCTAAATCCTGCACCCCAGCCCGGGTCAACGCGAAGTACTCAGCAAGATCCTGCAGGGTCCTGCGCCCAAGCCCGGGTCAGTGCGACCCTGGCCCTGCAGGATCCTGCAAGATCGGGCGCTCTGGCTGACCCCCGTTTGCATTGACCACCGTCTCAAGAGCCCCGAGGCGGGATGGGGGGGACTGGCCTGGGGGGAACATCGACCTGGAGCCGGCGATACACATCGCCGGTGGGTGGTTGAGCAGGGACCGACCGTCCCGACATTCCTAAAGGTCTACCACGGAATGTTCTTAGAACCGGCATTCCTGAAGGCCTACCACGGAATGTTCTTAGAGCCCAAGAATGTCCTAAGAGCCAAAGCAACGTTCCTAGAACCGAAACCCGACGTGCTACGACAAGACAGTCCCAGCGAGAGCTGCTCAGAGTTCTAGGAACATGTCGTAGAATCGGAGGGCACCAACTATACACCAACACCGATCCTGGCCCAGGATCACCCTGGGCCCAGGATCGGTGTATACGCCTTCTTGCGCAAGGCAGGAGGGCGTATACACCGATCCTGGGCCCAGGGTGATCCTGGCCAGGATCGGTGTTGGTGTATAGTTGGTGCCTTCCTAAGAGCCAATAAGCAACGTTCTTAGAACCGAAACCCGACGTGCTACAACAAGACAGTCCCAGCGAGAGCTGCTCAGAGTTCTAGGAAGAGGAGGAGGAGGAGGAGGAGGAGGAGGAGGAGGAGGAGGAGGAGGAGGAGGAGGCCTCGGAGGAGGAGGAGGAGGAGGAGCAGGAGGTAGAAACCACAAGCGGTTCTTAGCACATTCTCTGGTAGGCCTCGGCGAGCCCGGGCGCTGCGCCACTGCTCGGAGGCGGGTCGGCGGGAGGCCCCCCCCCGGCAGCGGGTGCGCGCGCTCCTGTGGGCGGCGTGGGCCGCGGGGCCCCTGCTGGCCACGAGTGGGCGCACTGCGGGGGTCGATTCTTAAGTCGGGCCTGCCCCCCTACAGGGGAATTTTCGACGGAAAGTAATCGGGCGACGAAATCTATACATATCCACTGCTCCCTGGCCAGGCCCATCTTGAACCCAGGAGCTGTGTATGCGCCGTCCAGGCCAAGCCAGGAGGGCGTGGCGTATACACCGCTGCGGGGTTGAGGATGGGCCTGGCCAGGGAGCAGTGGATATGTATAGATTTCGTCGCCCTAAGTAAAAAATACTCCAATCATTGTCGAAAAATAGTCCAAACATAGTCTGGGAACTATCTTTTTTTAGTATTTGTTTGACCTTTTTTGCAGAAGTTGGGGGTATTTGTTATGTCTCGTCGAAAACCCCGCTGTAGGGGGACAGGCCCGACTTCAGGGTCGATGCAGCCCCCACCCCCCGCCCGAGCCCACTGCAGGCTCGTGCCGTGTCGACCCGGGCGTTGGCTCCCGACACCGCGGGGATCGTTCAACCTTGAGCGATCGGCCGCTTCCGCAGCGTCCAGTGGTTCAACATCGACCGATGCAGGTTCGGCGGCGGCGTCCGACGTTGAACGCCGAGAGGCGGCGTCGCCGCTGGTCGACACGACGCGAAACTACCGCATCACCCCCTGACGCTGCTCCTGAGCAACCCTGGCACCACGTGTCAGGTCGGTCGTGTCCCCTACAGGGGGGCATTTTGGACGAAACATGAGAGATACTCCAGATTTCGTAAGAAAGGGAGGGGGGTCTCATTTCGGGGGGGGGTCTCTTCCAGGCCATCTTGGAGGGCCTGGGGGGTCTGGGGACGATGTTTTGGAGGGTTCTCCCACGGGGGAGGTCTGACATGGCTTGTCTCGGAGGGTCCAGACCCCCCCTCCCTTTTTGTTACGAAACCTGGAGTGCCCAGGAAGTGCTCAGAACTACCAAACACAGTCTCAAACAGTGGCCCCCGGGCCATCTTTTGGACTATATTTGCTGGAATTCTCCTCCTGCAGGGGGACCGGCCCGACTCACACCGTGTGGGGCCTCGCCGTGCCAGGGCGCCGCGCAGCCCCCCCGAGGGCGGGGCGCACGGGGGTGCGGCGCACCCCTCGCGCGGCCACGGCCGGGCTGCCGCGGGTGGCCTATGGACGGCACCCCGCTGGCCGCCCTCGCGCGCGCGGCCTCCGCCCCGCGGCCCCTGGCGTCCCGTGTCGCCGCGCCCGCGGTCGTGCCGGGGCGGGGGGAGTCACGCCGAGAGCCCCGAGGCAGAGGAGAGGAGGGGGGGGGGGGAAGCGGGGGCGGAAAGCCCAGCAGGGAAGGGGGGGGGAGGGAAGGGGGGGAGGGGGGGGGGAGGGAAGGGATGGAAGGGGGGAGGGAGGGGGGAGGGAAGGGGGAGGGAAGGGGGGAGGGTGAAGGGGGGGAGGGAAGGGGGGCGAATCAGCTGCACGCAAGAGGCCCGCCCCTGAAAAAGGGAGGTGAGAGGAGGGCCGCTGGAGTACTTAGCTAAGAGGGCACTTGAAGCAGGTCAGGATCTGACAGTCCAAGAAATACACGCTTGCACCGACGGACGTGTACATTGGCAGTGCCGTTCGCTTTACTGTAGTTCTATCCGCGCCCTTCCGGATGACCCATGCAAGAGCCCTCCTCCATATCGTGGCTGTTGCTGCCATGTTCACCGCTGACGCGGACATCCAGGACTGATGCCCCAGTGAGCAGATCCAAGCGGAGCAGCGCAAAGTATGTCTGACACAAGCGGGATGGGCCAAATCTGCAAGCCAGAGGGAGGCTACCTTCGAAGAGAAGAGGCAGGCATCGGGGGCTTCGGGGGGGCGGGGGGGGCGTCCTTGATGAACTCGCCCGCACCATCCTCGAAGTCGACCCTCCTGCCGGCCCAGCGCCAGCGCTGCGGCTGTCCATCCGACAAGCCGGCAATTCCACAGGACAGATGATCCGACCCTCCGGCTGGCGACCCTGCACGAATCCCGCCCTCGGACCCCCACCGCCGTGTCCCCCGGCCGCTCCCCGACTGCCCCAGGGGACAGTGAGGGCCCTCGGTGCTGCTGCCCTCTGATAATTGCCCAGACCCTCGACGCCATGAGGCTTTCATGACGTGGGCCCCCAGCGGTCTGGACCCATTCCCTGGCCCGGTTTTCATCCAGAGTCGCTTCGTTGCAGCAGGGGGCCACATGCGAACCCCGCCCCCACCCCCAGCGATCTGAGGGGGAGGGTGGGGGTAGGATTCGCATGTGGCCCCCTAGACAAATCCCGAGGGCCAGCAGCAGGAGCCCTTAAGGAGGCCAGAAGCAGCAGCAAGCTCCCAGCCGTGCTTTCTTCATGACCCGAGGGGGGCTGGATAACCGGCCAAGACCTTCCGCGGTGTCGACGACCTACCAGACCACCCCAACCCAACCCGAAGACCCGAATTTGGCCCGAATCTCGGGGGGGGGGCTACGGGTTCCATAGGTTTTCTCAATGCTCCCCGACACCCCCCACTGGAAATGGAGGGCAGATTGAAGCCTTCGGGTTGGGTCAGGGGTGGCTCGGTGGGTGGCGAGGCGTCCTCTGTCCACGGCGCGCGGGCGACGACGACGGTGTCCTCGGCGCGAGGGGGCCTGCTGGGCCTGCCCCTGCCGGGCCCACGCCGCAGAACACCCCCGCGGAGGGCGGCGGGGGCCAAGGTCCGAGGCGGCACCGGGCGCAGAGGAGCACACGGTGGCACAGGCACGCTCTCTCGGAGGTCCGCGCGGACCCCCGAGCAGCTGGAGTTTAGAAGGGCCTGTCCCCGACAGGCCGATGTTCAAGGAAAAATTGACAATTGGCTAAGCAAATGATCAACAATGATCAACAAATACTCAAACAATAGTCCCCCCACCATCTTTTACTGTGTGTTAATTTCCCTCCTGTAGAAGGACAGGCCCGACTTAAAAAGCTAGAGTTTCGGAGGAGGGGGGGGCTGGAACGGAAGTAACCCCGACCGGGAACTCGGTTTCGGCTTCGGGTCGTGGCGCGCGTGCGGGGCGAGGCGAAGCTGCGCCCCCCCCCCCCCTCCCCCCCCCCCCCCCCCCCTCCCCTCCCCCCCCCACCCCCCCCCCCTCCCCCCCCCCCCCCCCCCCCCCCCCCCCCCCCCCCCCCCCCCCCCCCCCCCCCCTCCCACCCCCCCCCCCCCCCCCCCCCCCCCCCCCCCCCCCCCCCCCCCCCCCCCCCCCCCCCACCCCCCACCCCCCCCGCCCCCCCCCCCCCCCCCCCCCCCCTCCCCCCCCCCTCCACCCTCCTTCCCCCCCCCCCTGCCAGGTTTCTGCACTGGCAGGGGCCATCTCTTGGCCGAAGCGACCGCCGCCGCCCCCCCAGCGAGCGCCGGCCGTGGCTCCCCGTTGTCCCGGCGGCTGTCCCAGTGCTTGTGGCTGTCCCGATGGTTGTCCTGCTGGTTGTCCCGATGGTTGTGGCTGTCCCGACGGTTGCCCCGAGGGCTGTCCCGAGGGTTGCCCCGAGGATTGTCCCGAGGGTTGTGTCCCGAGGATTGTCCCGAGGGTTGTCCCGACGGTTGTGTCCCGAGGGTTGTCCCGAGGGTTGTCCCGAGGATTGTCCCGATGGATGTCCTGATGGTTGATAGATATATAGATAGATAGATAGATAGATAAATAGATAGATAGATAGATAGATAGATAGATAGATAGATAGATATATACATGGATAGATAGGTGTGTATATATATATGTATATATATGTATTTAACTATATGTATATAAATATGAAAGAGAGAGAGAGAGAGAGAGAGAGACAGACAGAGCGTGATCCACCGCCATATTACTATGGAAAATTGCCCCCCTCTTCCTCTGGAGCCGGGGGCCCCCCCCCGCCCCCCCCGGGGTCTCCCCCCCCTCCGGGGTCCCCCCCTCCCCCCCCCCCCTGCTGGACCCCCCCCCCTCCCCTTCCCCGGCAAATCCCCCCCTCCCCTAACCCCCCCCCCCCCCCCCTTCCCCTCGAAAACCGGGGGGGGGGTCACTACCGGTTCGACCCCCCCCCCCCGGAGACCGGAGGGGGGGTCATCTTGGTTCGAACCCCCTCCCCCCCCCCGCCAAACTGTCCGCACCAGCACGAATCCTCCAACCACTGTGCCATCCACTGTTTTTCCAGCACCCTGTCCTCGCCACACTGTCCCCACTGTCCACTGTCCCCACTGTCCCCAAACTGTTCCCACCACGGTTCCACTCTCCCCACTGTCTCCACGGCCCCAACCACTGCCCGACTATCCCCACTGTCCCCACTGTCCCACTGACTCCTCCGCTGTCCCACTGAGCTGTCCCACTGTTCCCACCACTGTCCCCACTGTCCCCACCGCTGTCCCTACTGTACCTCTGTCCCATTGTCCCACCGCCGTCCTCGCCACCGCCTTCACCACTGTCCCCACCACCACTGTACCCTCCACTGTCCCACTGTTTCCACCTCCCCCTGCCCCCGCACCACTGTCCCCACCACCACCGTCCCCACCGCTGTCCACTGTCCCCACTGTTCCCACCATTGTCCTCACCACTGTCCCCACCACTACAGGTCCCCACCACTGTCCCACTGTCCCCACCGCTGTCCCGCTGCCCCCTCGCCACTGTCCCCAACACCACCGTCCCCACCACTGTCCGCCCCCCCCCTCGGTTTTCGAGGAGAGGGGGGGGGGGGGGTTCGAACCGGTGGTGACCCCCCCCGGTTTTCGAGGGGTGGAGGGGGGGGGTTCGAAACCTGTAGGACCCCACCCCCCCCCCTCCCCCCCTTTTCATGATGAACTGGGGGGGGGGGGGAGGGGTTCGAACCGGTAGTGACCCCCCCGGTTTTCCGGAGGGGGGGGGGGAGGGGTTCGAACCGGTAGTGACCCCCCCCCGGTTTTCCGCCAGCAGCGGTAGAACACGCTCTTTCTATATATTATATATATATATATATATATATATATATATATATATATATATCTATCTATATATATATATATATGTGCATGGATAGATGGGTAGGTTACACAAACATATATATATATATATACAAGACTGCATTGGCGCTTCGCGCCATGCACCTTGGTCCTTCGAATCGAGCATGAATGGCTGTTCGCCTCATCCATGTTGGCCTTGAAGCGCGGCAAGCTCATTTAGGATTGCGTTTGGAACTGAATTTTGAAGCGGCCCCTGCAACGTGGCGGCGAGAGAGCGGAGGCCCCGAAAGAATAGAAAATCACAGGACAACCTGAAGTGTCGAGCTGCGAACCGTGATCTGCGCCTTCCTCTCTCGACTCTTGCCCTGCGAACCTCGAGCCTCAAACGTCGACGTGCGATCTTCTCGGAAAGTGCACCGAATCCCATGTTCACAACGGATTTCCCGAATATTGTTGCGACGCACACATGTGTGCTGTCTCTCGTTACCGGGAATCGAGTCTGAGGCCAGCAGCAGGAGGTGTCAGGGGGAGGAAGTCTGTTTCCGCCCCAGCGCGCTTGCGTTCCGAATTAAGTGGTCGGCCGTCAGGCGCCGCCAGCAGCAGCGGCCTCGTCGACCTCGTGCTCGTCGCCGGCTGCCACGTTCTCCCAGTCACTCCCGGCCTCTGCGTCCTCTTCTGCTGCAGCGCCCCCGAGCCGAGCCAGCAATTGCGACTCTTCGCAAAAGGCGAACTGCGCGCCGTAATCCGTGAGGGTGGCCTGCTCACAGAATGAGTACACCCGCCGCACCACGTCGTGGTTGAACTTAGCAAGAGTCGCGGCTTTGTGCTCCTGGAAAGCCTTCACGCGCGTGGCTCCAGCTTGCCGGATCAGGACGGTCCACAGCTGGATGGCGGCGGCGTTCTGGGCGTGAAGCACGGCAACCTTGCGAACCGGTCGTCCGCGTTTCCCGGTTGCCCACACCGTGGTGCCCAATCGCTGGGACACCACGCGGCGCGGCCCGCTGCCTGCGAGCACGACCGCGGGAGTTTTCTTGTGCCGCCCGTGATCCGGGCACCGCGACGAGGGCTGTCGAATGCGCAACGCATTCTTCACTCTGAAGCTTCTCCGCCCAGGAGACGCCGCGAGCACCCCTTCCATCTCTTCGGCGGGCGCCGCGAACAGGGCCGGTACCATGCCGCCTTTGTGGCCGAGCTCCGTGAGCGCGCTCAGGAAGCATCTGCTGTCGGCGGCAATTTTTCTGAGCTCTCGCGCGGCTTTCGCTGCGTGGAGCTTGGCGAGTCTATTCTTCTGTAGCTTCCAAGGATTGAAACTGTCGCCAATCAGGTCGGCTGGGTGCCCGGGGTGTTGCTGGAGGACCACGTTGAGCTTTGCCACCACTCCCTTGGCTCCGGCGATGGTGTTCACATGATCGGCAATTATGCGCAATGCGCAAGGGGAGTGCAGGAACTCGAGCAACAGCGCCGTGCTATCTCGAGCGTGCTGCGGGCACTGATTCAGTATGTGTGTCTGAGCCCGGCCCGTTTTGTCAGCGCACTCCAAACATACTTTCTCGCCCTCGATGCTCCTCACGTACAAAGGAGCCGTGCTGGTTGACCCCGTGTGGTTGTACGCGTTCCACTCGCTGGTGGGCACGTACGTGTCGCGCCACGTCGGCAACGCCGGAAGGAGGGCCTCACATATGTGGGCGTGGACTCACATTGCGAACCACCCTGGCGTCATTGTCGCCCTGGGTGTTGCACAGGCCGCGCCCCCCGAAGGGAACCGAACGTGCATGTCGATAATTGTGGGGCGGAGGGGGGGGGCCCAGATGAACGACACCAGGGTGGTTGAATGTAATGCCCACACGGGTCCTTGAGCTCCGCGGCAGTGAGAGTTTCCATGTGCACGTCCATGGCTGGCACCAGCTCCGCGCTGGGAGGCAGGGCGCGCCAACTGCTTGGCAGAACTGCGGTGCGCAGCGTTTTCTTGAGCAGGCTGTCGCGAACCATCTGCCGAACGCAGCGAACGAGCCAGAACGAAACCCAAAAAGAGTCCCTCATGGTCACCGCGACTTCACCCTTGAAGGCGCAATGGTGTTTGAGCCAACATGGCTACGGAAATTGAAGCTGTCTGTTATGTTGGGGGAAAGGTGCACATATGTGCATCATCACACGCACTTCCACGAATAAGTAGAGCTCAGAGGGAATGAATGCGTCCGTCATTGAGTTTTCCGGCCGTTTCGCTAAAAACATCCCCCCAAAGATGCCAATCGAATGCAATCCTTTCGCAAATCTTGCGAGACAGGTCAAGCACCACACAGTATTTATAAGTGTGAACATGACACGTGTAATAACACATTGCGAAGTCCATCTTTTGGACACCGATCGTCAGAGAATGTCGTTTCTGCGTGCTGGGCGTTACGGAACGGCGCAAGCACACACTGGGCTAACAAACGTTCTGAATGGGGAAACCAAAATGGTGGGTTTGTGTTTCACCGCCACCCCCAGAAGTAGGAAGGGGAGGGCTCCTCCTCCTCCTCCTCCTTCTTCTCCTCCTCTTCCTCCTCCTCCTCCTCGTCCTGCTCTTGGGAGCCTCTTGGGCCGTCTTGGAACGTCGGGAAGCCGAAAAGGCGAGAAAGCCAAAAACTTCGAAAAACACCATGGGGTATCAACAATTGTGGCCTCTTGGGGCCTCTTCGGAAGCGTTTGGAAGGCCTTTTGGAGCGTCTTGTAGGCTCTGGGGCCGTTTTGTGAGCTTCCCGCTAGCCCACTGCAAAGGCTTCGCAAGGACATTAGGGACGTCCAGAGATGCAGAAGGCCGGCCAGGGGCGTCCAGGAGGCCCGGAAGGCTCGGGGGACCCCCTTGCCAGGCGTCCAAGGGGCCCCAAAAGCGCCAGATTCCGGGGGTCCGATTTCCCGAAGGGGGGGGGGGGGTCCCACCCCCCCGGATTGTAAAAATATAGAACAGGGAATATATACATACATACATATGGTTGTCCCGATGCTGTCCTGGGATGGGCAAAACAACGCATGCGAATCATACATGTGCAAAGCGTTTTGCGCGCTGCGCGCGAAACGCATGCGAATCGTAAATATTGCAAAGCGTTTCGCGCGCTGCGCTCGCGAAAAGCATGCAAATCATAGATACGGTAAAGAGTTTTGTGCGCGCTGCGCGCGAAACACAAGATACAGGGTTAGACCTATCATTATGTAGATGTATAGACAGACATCTATACATAGTTAGGTCGGTATACGGCTATACAGTAAAATATATAGGTCGATAAACATACACATAAAGACGTGTACATTTATAAATATAGATACTGACGCATATATATATATATATATATATATATATGAATACCGGCATGTGTATACGTATCTCTCTATGTCTATATCGATATATATATATATATATATATATATATGTATACACGTATACATACATAGATCGTTCGATATGATATGTGGTTGTCCTACACAGGTAATTAAATATTTAGGTCGATCGATAGATGGGCAGATGTGCACAACAAAAGAATAATTGAAGAAACCACCCAAGAACCCAGAGCGATCGCAGATCGCCCGCCTTCCTGTCCCCCCTCCCCACCGAACCTCCTTATGACCCCGTAGGGTGGTCCTAATTATCGGCATGCAGCTGTGCATTCCTCGCCAGCAGCAAGGGGCGTCTCGTCCGGGGGGAGGGGGGGCGTCGGAGAAACCCCGCTCCGACCAGCAGGGAGCGGGCTTCGGGCGTGGCAGCCGATCCGCCCGAGCGCCCACTCGCGGCACGTCGCCGCCGCCGCCAAGGCCGCCGCCGCCGAGACTTCCGCCACAGCTGCCGCTGTCCTCGTCATCATCGCCGCGGTCGACGCCACCGTCGTCGTCGCCGCCGCCGCCGCCAGCGTCTCGCTTCTCGTTGGCGCGCACCCGTGCGAGCGAGCCAAGCCGGGCTGCCAGAAGCACACGCGCCCTGGGTCCAGGGACCGTGCTGCCGCTGCACCATCTTCCGCGCGCGCATCGGCCCACGAGGGCCCCCGTGCCAGGCTGACCGGTCAGCATCGACTTGGAGCTCGGATCGAGTCGGATCGTGCGTCGGAGCGGGTCGCACCGGCACGGATCGGAATCGAGTCGGATCGGACGCGCCCGGATCCGCAGCAGCGCCCCTGTGGGGGCGCGATGTTTCGCACACCACCTCCAGAAACAAGCTGGTCGGCACAAGGCCGTGGCTCGGCGGCTGTGCGCAGCAACGACATCCCGTGGAGACGCGATTTTTCCACACCTCCCCCACAAACAAGCTGGTCTGGCACGCGGTGCGCGAGCAGAGGCGCCATACATCGGCTGCCAGCCCACACAAGCATCGGGCCGCACCGGATCGTCGGAGTACCAGTGCCGACACGGGTCGACCCCACCAGAGTCGATGCCGCGTCGGATCGATCGGGTCGAAATGGGCCCTGCGTGGCCCGCACGGCCTTCTCCGACACAGCAGACACGCGGCTCTCTCCCCCGCTCTTCCCTCGCTGGGGAGCCACATGCGGACCCGATCCCTGCGGGCCAGTCTTCTACAACGCCCGCTGGGATCCAGAGGTCTGAGGATGTCCGCAGCCAGGTGAATCCCACCAAGGGTGTCCGATGCCCCGGCGGCCAGTGGACCCGCAGGGGAGTGATTTGCAACTGGCCGCAGACTCGCGCTCCCCCCGATTTCCCACAGGGAATAACGAGCCCCAGGGGGCCCCCAAGAGCCCCCCAAGAGGCCCCGGGGGAGCCCACTGCGCCGCCGAGGAGCCCCAAGACGCCCCCAAAGAAGAGGCCCCCAAGAAGAAGCCCCCAAGACGGCCCCAAGAGGCCCCAAATACCGCTCCAGGGCCGGCGGAATGAGCGAAGCGATGAATAACGAAATCAACACAACTTTTGGCGCTCCGCGCTGATCTCTCGGACCGGCGCTGGACCGCCCCTCCTGGCGCGCGGCGCGCGCCCGGGGGCAGCGCCAAGAGGCGCGGACAGGGGGCTCCAGCGCCGATCCCACAGATTCCTGCGGACCTCCGGGGACTTCTGCGTATGCTCGGCTTTGGATTACGGCTTTGAAGGCGTGAAGCTCGCAAATAGGGAAACCAAAAAATACGGATGCCGCCACACCACGGCTTTCTCCCAGGCTCCATTCTGACTAGAATTTCGAAGCCAGTTCAGCTGTGGCGACGAGGGTCGGCCAGAAGGCCCGAAAAGGCCCAAACTAGGCAAGGGTAGCGGTGTAGGTACCTGTTCCTCCTTTAAGCAACTAGTCGCAGACTCGCGACCCCTATGTTTCCATCGATCGCCTTCGGAGCAAGACGATGTCAGCAGCGCTCGAACGGCATGGGGATGAAACTCGTCGAGGGCACGGAGGCCTGCTCAACCTCAGGAGCTCGGGGATCTCACTGGAAAAGCAGCACAGCTTCAATAGTCAGGGTGTTTAGTTCCGTCGCCTTTCGGCTTTTCGTAGTTTTTGGCGTCTGGGGGCCGTTTTCGTGCCAGGGGACCGTCAGAAACGGACCTGGGATGAAGAGCTACCCCGAAGGAAATTCCTGGGACGATTCGCCGACACGACCTGCAAACGTTGCACTATTTTTCCAAGGGGGCGTTGGGAGAGTCGAGACAACATCGTCTCTCTTGCCTGACCCCGAATCGCTCCCAAAACCAATCTCTGGGCCCCCGGGTCCGTCGTGACCCGCTCCTCGAGGCTGATCCAGCCGTGGCGACGCGCATCCTGCGGGAAGCCCGGTAAGGACGAACAACGCTTGTCCGACTGGCCCCACTCGTACCACGGACTTCCGACGATGTGCATGTTCCAATCCGCGGCCCCATACCTCTGGAACCCTTCCCCGGGAGCAACGTATCGCCGCGGACCCGTTCTCGATTGTGCCGGGGGCTCCGATTTTGCATGTTTTCAAAGTCTGACGAGTTTGCTTACATGACATTTCGCTCCCCCGATTTCCCCTCTGACCGCCTTTTCGCTCCGTGCGTGGCCACACAGACGCGCAAGCGTGTCCAGACTTGCGTGAAGAGCACATTTCCTCTCGGGCCTCGCCGCGCCCCCCCCTCACATCGAAGAAGAGCACGCCAAGATTGAACACACATCTGGCCACCGCTCGGGCGTCCATTCCCTGTGTTTTTTCCGGTTTCGTGCGTGGTTTTTTCGCCAAATGATTGAGGATGCTCCTCGATGGTCCTCGCCGGAGGAAAAGTGCACACGTCCGAGCGATGCCAAGGCATCAGATCGTCGGAGATCTGGGCGTCCCGCGCCTGCTGGACCCGTCGACCCGCGCCCCCTCCCCTCCCGAGAGAGCGATGCCAGGGGAGGGGCCGCCCGTGGCATAGAGCCCGCGCCTGTCCACGCTCTCCTTCTTCACCGCCCTCCGCACCTGCGCGAAGACCTCCTCGTCTCCTCGGGAGGCGGCCACCGACCAGCGGCGAACAGATCCGTGTCCGCGACCGCGCGGTCTGGACTCCCAAGCTTATGTTGCTCCCATCGTATTCAAGGACCACATCCCATAACTCACTTCGAGCACTGGGAAAAGTGTCGAAAGAGTGTCGAAAGAGTGTCGAAACAATGTAGAACGAGTGTCTCCCAGGGCCCGACACGCGAAAACCCTCGCAATTCGGTGCTTTGCACTGGCGCTCGAAATTCTTGTCTGGTGATCACGGCTAAAGTAGGTTGGAACATCAGAATCCCAAGCGCGAGCCCGTGGACACGCCGTCGCACGGGACCGTTTGACGCGGGGTATCTGCGAGACAACGCCCCGCATCCGCGGGGTCGCGGCCTGGGGGTCTGGCCCGCAGGGCCGCCGCTACGGATGTGTTGCTCCGCCCACGAGCTGCGGGCTGTTTCGATCGGGAGATGGCCGCCTCGGCCATCGTCGCCTCGCGGGCCCCTCCCAGCGGACTGGGAAAGACTATCCTCAGGTCGGCGTGTCCACCTACAGGCGGGCTTCATGAGAAACTAAAGCCTTCTCAACAAAAATATTCAAACATGTTCAAGCAATGCTCAAAACATCGTCCTAGCACGAAATGCTTATTCTGACATTTTATAACTGATTTTTGAATCTGAAGAGGCCCTGGGACACACAAACAAATAGACACAAATAGCAAGATGTCCCACATGTTCCTACATTTTCTGGGTTTCCGTCTTCCCCCCCACTGCCCATGCTTTCCCATATAATATTTTCCTGGGAATCGGCGATTCACTGTGTCTGTGTGCTTTTTTCCCTCTCCTGAGAATACTCCTCCTGTGGAGGGCCATCACATATTCTTATTTTCTTATTTTCTATTATTAGTTCCTATATTTATTTCTTACGTTTCTATAACTTGTTTTCTTGCTCTTATTTTCTATAACTGATTTTTGAATACTCCCCTGCCAGACTGACGACTACCCGTAGCTGTGCTGTCGGTTCTGCTGCGAAGGGGCCGCCGGTGGCTCCGCGCCCTCGGCCCGCACGCGCCCAGTGCAAACGTGGCGCGCCGGTCGGGCAGCAAGCAGGCAAACCATGAAGGAGGAGGAGGAGGAGGAGGAGGAGGAGGAGGAGGAGGAGGAGGAGGAGGAGGAGGGAGGAGGAGGGAGGGAGGAGGAGGAGGAGGAGAGAGGAGGGAGAGGAGGAGGAGGAGGAGGAGGAGGAGGAGGGGAGGAGGAGGAGGAGGAGGAGGAGGAGAGGAGGAGGAGGAGGAGGAAGGAGGAAGAAGGAGGAGGAGGAGGAGAGAGGAGGAGAGGAGCGAGGAGGAGGAGGAGGCGAGGGAGGACGCCCTCGGCCGAGGGAGGAGGAGGCCCGACGCGTTGCCTCGTCCGTCCGACCGAGTCCTCATCGAATCCCCTCTCCTGGCATCGCCCGGTCGTGTGCAGCTGGGGGGGCGGATAAACAGGGGACCACGTGCGAACCCTACCCCTGCCCCCCACGATTTCTGAGGGGGAGGGTGGGGGTCACTTCGTGGGGGGCACAGGTAGGGTTCGCATGTGGTCCCCTGATAAAGTCGGTTGGGTTCAGGCCCTCCCAGAGAACAACAGCACACAACAAAGCATGACGATTCTTGAATTCGGAGGGCGCTGGAAGCAGATCGAGATCTGGGAATCCAGAAACACCTGCTTTAAACGACTGACGTGTGCAGGTGAACCCTGCCCCCGACTCTGCACAGGGGGATGGGTCTCGGAACCCGAAGCATGTCTGCGGCCAGGTGAGCCCCAGCGTCGACTGGCCCCGCAGGGGCAGGGCTTGCAAGTGGTCGCAGGCTCGGGGGGGCAGGCTAACTTCTCACGCCCCTCCTCTGATAGCTGTCCTCGAAAGATGGCCGGAAGAAGGCTCCCCCTGCCCCCGCGAGGGCTCCAAGACAGCCCCGAAGACCTCCTCGAGGACCTCCAGAATGGCCCCGAAGATCTCCCACAGGCTCTGCACCAATGCGAGCACCTTCTCGTCCCCTCGGTAGTGAACCACAAGCGAACCCTACCGCTGCAAGCCAAATTTCTGAAAAAGCGGCTGGGTTCCGGAACCTGAAACATGTCTGCGGCCAGGTGAACACAACCGGGGGGGGGCAGATACCCCGGCGTCGACTGAACCATCAGGGGCAGGGGTCGCAAGTGGTCGCAGACTCTCGCTTCCCTATGTTTGTCCACCTATCTCCTTAGGCATGCAGCGATGTCAGCAGCGCCCGGACTCAGGGAGCGGGGCTAATGTCGGACCCCTCCTTCTCTGATTGATGTCCTCCACTTCTCAGACATCTGCCTAACTTCCTGCTCCTCCTCCTCCTGCTCCGAATCCTCCCCACCATCCTGAGGTCTGGTGGGTGGGGGTTATCTGGAGATCTTCGGAGATTCCTGAACGTCTTTTCCTCCGCCGCCTCCTCCCCTCGCCAACCGACGAGCCATCCTGAGAGGAGTGCGTCGTGCACGTGCTGGAGCCTGCCGACCAGTCTCTCTATCAGGGAGTCCCCCTCGAACCAGTCCGGCGAATCCTCGTCGTCCTCGCCCTCTTCGCCCTGAGGGGTGCAGGCAGGTGTGTGAAGGGTACGGCGAGGGCATTGCAGGGTCCGGAGACTAGTGGAATTCGAATCGTGGAGTGACCATGGATATCACCGCCGCCCCGCCGCCCTGATCAGATGAAGAATCCTCCAGGGTGTAACGCCTCCTGGGCGCCATCTTCACCCACCACCCCCACCCTAGTAGGCAGAGCAAGGGCGTGGTGCGCGATGAGGGTGCGATGAAAATACCCAGCCGACCTCGAGGAAAGGCCAGGCTCTCGGGCGCTCTAACGGGCGCGGTGCCGTGGCTCCCAGGGTTCCCGATTCGTGTCAAGGATGCACGGTCAAACCGCAGGTGGTGAAACCATGTCGTGTAACATGGAATATGTCGACCCCTATCCCAGGCTTTGGGGAATTTCGACTGGACTGGAAATTTCGGGCGCAACCCTGGCATATACGATGGGGGGGCGTCAATCCTCGATATGGGGTGCGTCCGACTAGCCCCAGTGGGGTGTATCCCAAGGTTCCCCCTTTCGCCTGAGAGGCCAAACTTTTCGGGCAGAACCAAGGGATTGGGGGAGAAATCCGCCTGCGATCCTGAGCGTCGAGGGCGTGAAGGTTGTAGAATGTAGAGCAGATCGAGAGAACGGAGAGGGAGCTACATACATGTGTAAATCAACGTCCGTATGTGTATATGCAGTGTCATGTAAATCTTAACCGGGAAACATACAACATAATGAGAAGAGCTAGCGGAAGGTAAGGAGACACTATGAAGAAAAGAAAGGGGAATACGGAGACAGGGGGTCGAGAGAGTCAGCAGGTACATTGGAGGCAGCAGGGGAGGATATGCATAATGATGACAACTGAGAGCGAGGCAGAGAACGAGAGAGAGAGAGAGAGAACGTAAGCAATACAGGAACATGTAGAGAGAGAGAGAAGGCTGCGTACATTGCTATGCGAAATACAAGTAGATCGGCAACCGAAAGGAGGGAGAGCGAGAGAGAGAGAGAGAGAGACATGCATGTGAACATCTACGTGTACATATGTATACATATACACAAGGACTACGCGCGCTTGGCGCGCGCTTAGGTTCTAGCATATGTATATGCAGTGTCATGTAAATCTTCACCGGAAAAATACCGCAGAGTGAGAAGAGCTAGCGGAAGGTAAGGAGACACTATGAAGAAAGGAAAGGGGAATACGGAGACAGGGGGTCGAGAGAGTCAGCAGGTACATTGGAGACAGCAGGGGAGGATATGCATAATGATGACAGCTGAGAGCGAGGCAGAGAACGAGAGAGAGAGAGAACGCAAGCAATACAGGAATATGTAGAGAGAGTGAAGGCTGCATACATTGATATGCGAAGTACAAGTATTTCGGAAACCGAAAGGAGGGAGAGCGAGAGAGAGAGAGAGAGAGACATGCCTGTGAACATCTACGTATACATATGTATAAATATACACTAGAACCACGCGCGCTTGGCGCGCGTTTAGGTTCTAGCATGCTCAAGTTGTCAGATACAATGTTCGGCGCAGGAGGACATGTATTGTCACACGGGTCGTGCCCCTCAGGCGGCTCCACTTGCATCCCCAGAGACATGCTTGGCTTAGCACCCCCCGCCCACGTCGGCAAACCCTTCACAGGGATCGCGCCCCACAGGGAGCTCCACCTACGTCCCCAGAGACAAGGTTCGCAGAGTGGAACGCACCTCAGGCTGATCGTGCCCCGCAGGTAACTGCATGTGTGGCACCAAAGGGAAGCTTCAAAGCGTCACGCAGCTCACCTCGGCACACCTCTCACACGGATCGCGGCCCGCAAAAAATTCGACGGACGGCCCCAGAGACAAGGTTCGCATCCCGCCCCCCACCTCTCACGCGGACCGTGGCGCACAAGGATCTCCACCTCCGGCCACAGAGGCAGGGTTCGCACTGCGCCCCCCTCCCTGGCCATTGTGGTACACCCCATCAGGCGGATCGTGCCCAAAAGGAACATCACCTAAAGGCCAAACGACAAGGTTCGTACAGCGCCCCCCCGCCCTGTCAGCACACCCGTCACGCGAACCATTCCCCAGAAGGAGCTCCACCAATGGCACCAGTTGGCAATTTCGCGTAGCGTCCCCCCGCCCACCTCGGAACATGCTTCGCACGAATCGTGCCTGGAAGAGGCCCACCTGCGGCCTCAGTGGGCGTGTAGGCGCGGGGGCATCCGAATTATTCGGCACACCTTTGACGCGGACCGTGCCCCGCAGGGAATTCACCGCACACGTGCACGTGTGCTTCGCAACAGCCATCTTTCTGCATCGCCCCGCGGCGCGCAGAGTACCTATGAACAGAGACCCGCGCTTTTCGCGCTGCGCACGATTGCTTAAGGGACAAAGCAGTTTTGACCTCCTGGGGACGTCTCGGGGCGCATCTTGGAAAGGAGGAGGAGGAGGAGGGGGAGGAGGAGGAGGAGGAGGAGGAGGAGGAGAGGGGAGGAGGAGGAGGAGGAGGAGGAGGAGGAGGAGAAGGAGGAGGAGGGCGTCTTCGGCCCTAACAGGCCACTCTGGACGCTCTCGGGGTGACAGCGGAGCTGTGTGAGCGGCGCGGGGGAGGCCCAGGAAGCTCCACAAGGGGTCAACAATGTCGTGTGCCTAAAGGGGGGGAATTCCTGGAGGGAGTCTGGGCTGTGTTGAGCCCTTCTCCTCCTCCTCCTCCTCCTCCTCCTGATCATCATCATCATCATCATCATCATCATCATCATCATCATCATCATCATCACCATCATCATCACCATCATCATCACCATCATCATCACCTTCGCCTTCGTCCTCGTCCCTCCTCCACCTCCTCCCCCTCCTCCTCCTCCTCCTCCTCCTCCTCCTCCGATCCTTCTCCTCATCCTCCTCCCCCTCCTCCTCCTCCTCCTCCTCC